GATTGGGATGAGGGGAACAAAAGGAGACAGATTGGGATGAGGGGAACAAAAGGAGACAGATTGGGATGAGGAGAACAAAAGGAGACAGATTGGGATGAGGGGAACAAAAGGAGACAGATTGGGATGAGGGGAACAAAAGGAGACAGATTGGATGAGGAGAACAAAAGGAGACAGATTGGGATGAGGGGAACAAAAGGAGACAGATTGGGATGAGGGGAACAAAAGGAGACAGATTGGGATGAGGGGAACAAAAGGAGACAGATTGGGATGAGGGGAACAAAAGGAGACAGATTGGGATGAGGGAAACAAAAGGAGACAGATTGGGATGAGGGGAACAAAAGGAGACAGATTGGGATGAGGGGAAGAAAAGGAGACAGATTGGGATGAGGAGAAGAAAAGGAGACAGATTGGGATGAGGAGAAGAAAAGGAGTGAGCTTGTGGAAGGGTTGAGGTGAGATAGGCAATGGAATGAGCTGGAGGAGGGTTGAGGTGAGATAGGCAATGGAATGAGCTTGTGGAAGGGTTGAGGTGAGATAGGCAATGGAATGAGCTTGTGGAAGGGTTGAGGTGAGATAGGCAATGGAATGACCTGAGGAGGGAAAATTGATTAAGGAGACAAGAGGGCATGGTAACAAAAAACCAATAAAAAGAAGATTAGTAAGAATCCAAAAGAGAGAGGGCAAAAAGGTAAATCAATGAGGGGAAAATAGAGAGGGTTTGAGGGTAGATATGTAAGGAGACAAGGGAAGAGGGCATGAGGATATATCTGTGAGGAGATATGGGGACAAGGCTATGAAGGTAGATATGCAACAATACAAGAGGGGGGAGGGGGGTTGTAAGGGCATGAGGATAGACCTTTGAGGAGATATGGGGACAAGGGCATGAAGGTAGATATGTGAGAATTAGGGGAGGGGGATGGAGGGCATGAGGATAGACCTGTGAGAAGAGACTGTGAAGGTAGCTTTTGAGAAGATTGATGGGGAAACAATGGACAGCTAGGACACAAGGGAAGATTAATGATTTTGGAGGACATACACTGAATAGTGATTTAAAATGGAAACATATAGCAGATACTGGGCAAGAAAAGATGTTTTATAGCTGAGGTTGGAACTAATGTTAAATCAGGACTAATTAATGAATAGCTTCCTTATTTGGTGGTCAGTCAGAAAGAATGGCTGGTGCCCTAGTAATCCTCCATGAGCAGGTGTTTGAAGGGTAATGTACATTGACAAAGACCTCATTGTCATTTCTCCAGGTTGGTGCACATTTAAAAGTCTTCCCAGTTTTAGTAAAAACTGCAAATATATGTGTATTTAGTCCTCATTATAACTTGAAATCAGCGATATAATTTCTCTGTAGAGAGATTTTTATATCATCAAATGTAGCCTCAGGGTTTCACTTACCTTGTATTATATATATTGTACACATATGGATCTTAAATGAGTTTTCATTTTATAGGAGACTTTATGAAACGAAGATTTGTCTTTTATTTTTGTGCTGTCTCATTATAAAGAGGTTGGACAATATACGGACGGAAACAACTAGTTGAAAATCTGTGCAAGTCAGTTTCATAATGAACTGAGTCCTTAATCTGAATTCATAGAATTTAGAAGATATGGCACATTGGAATACCTGGTTTCTATACAACAACTGAACCAGAAACCTGACATATTGGACAACAATTACAGTCCAACTCATTTTTCACCACCATTGATTTCCAATATAAGCTAGGTTTGATTTTAAAATTTGTAACACCACAAGGTGTATTTTGTGAGTTTTACTGTGTGCATGTCAGTTTTCAATAGCCTGTTCAGACGCTGTATTACAGCTATAGATCCAATATTTATACATTGTTGACGGTAATCACCAGGAATTCATCAAGTAAAAATTCAATATTAACAACAAAGACTGGCACAATGTGTACATAGTGTGGAGTACTTGATTACAACAGGTGCCAGGTACACCACCGTCACTTCTACCAATACTGAATCAAAATTGATACACAGAAACCAGGTGATGTATAGTCACAGTTTGAGTAGTGGAAGGGAGGTAACTCATGGAAAAACCATTTTACTGAGCACAGGCTACCAGTAATGTTAGGTAGGATGAGGAGTTCACTGTGTCCAATTTATGACAGGAAATTTATCTTCCTGAAAAAACTTGGTTGGAATTTTTTTATAAATTCTGGGGGGGAATAAATAAATAAATAATCGTCTTCTTTCTTTGATTTTTTTCTCAAATGTTTTTAGTATTTCATGCTTCGTTGATGAAAATGTACAGGTGCTGACTTCTTATACCCTTACATGTATCTAACCCCTATACAGTGGAATACCAGTAGAAAGTTCTAATAAGAAAACATTTCAGTGATTAAATTCACTATCATACTACCACACTAAAGTATTGTTTACAAAGATTGAAAAAAAGCTGAATTTTTTAAGTTCCATTTAAAAATTTAATACATCTTGCAGGAATCAAAAAAAAGTTAAGGATAATAAAAGAAAATAAATAGAATGACGACTATATGTTTGTTCTCTTGTATTGAAATTATTTTCAAATTTTATTTAACTATAAGTTTCACAGAAAGTACAGATAACTTCCACTACCAAAGTTGTATAGATCTTACCTGAAATCAAGAAACAAAGTAGACATATAGAATTAATACTTGGATATAAATACTTGTATTCTTATAGACTGAATTCATTTCGTAAACTTTTAACATTAGTGATATATATATAAGACATTATAGGTTCAATTCTTGTTTAGAGATATTTTTAATCCTGACTGTAATTGATCACCAGAAGTGATCCCAGTGGGGGATCTTATTGAATGGATCTGCAGGATGGATAGTAAGGGTGGATCTTGATGGATGGATCAATGTGATGGATAGTAAGGGTGGATCTTGATGGATGGATCAATGTGATGGATAGTAAGGGTGGATCTTGATGGATGGATCAATGTGCTGGATAGTAAGGGTGGATCTTGATGGATGGATCAATGTGCTGGATAGTAAGGGTGGATCTTGATGGATGGATCAATGTGCTGGATAGTAAGGGTGGATCTTGATGGATGGATCAATGTGCTGGATAGTAAGGGTGGATCTTGATGGATGGATCAATGTGCTGGATAGTAAGGATGGATCTTGATGGATGGATCCACATAATAAATTATAGGGAAAGACCTTATTGAATGGATCCACAGGATGGATACCTGTTGTGAATTTTGATAAATGGATTCACATGATGGAAATCTTTGATCGATCTTAATGAATGGATCCCAGTGGCAGATTTCAATTAATGGAGGTACATGAAAGATTTCTATGATGGATCCTGATAAATGGATCTGTAGATCTGTATGAAGAATTCCTGTGGTGGATCTTTGAGAATGGATCTACAGTAAGGATCCTTATTGTGGATCTTGATGAATGGATCCTGATGATGATGTTGGTAGATTGTAGTGATGGATTGGTGAGATGTCCGAGATAGATCCCAGTGATTCTTTTGATGGACAATTTCTTCTGCTGGTGGTATTGGACCACGGCGCTGGTGGTGTTGGACCACGGCGCTGGTGGTGTTGGACAACGGCACTGGTTGTGTTGGACCACGGCGCTGGTGGTGTTGGACCACGGCGCTGGTGGTGTTGAACAACGGCGCTGGTTGTGTTGGACCACGGCGTTGGTGGTGTTGAACGATGGCGCTGTTGGTGTTGAACAATGGCGCTGGTTGTGTTGGACCACGGCGTTGGTGGTGTTGAACGATGGCGCTGTTGGTGTTGGACCACGGCGTTGGTGGTGTTGGACCATGGCGCTGGTTAGATATACATGGTGTATTGTGGTAGGTCTTGGGATGTACAAGGATGTATTATAATGTTTGTATAGCCTTGTGGTAGGTCTTGGGATATACAAGGATGTATTATAATGTTTGTATAGCCTTGTGGTAGGTCTGGAGATGTACATATCTACTATTTCAGTTGTCGACCACTATTTGATATAATCTATTACATCTTTAATGACTATTAATTGTGTAAGGTAACAATTCTGCGACTGATATCGCTAAGTTCATGGTTACAGTATCAAAGAATAAATCATAGTAATGTGTTTTGAGATAGTAGTTAGTTCTGGACGAGCAAACATCTTGTTCATAAACATTCAGAGACTTGATTTCCTCGTTAGATATGTCACTAGACGTAGTTAATGACTTTGCTATTCCTCAGGATATGCTTATTTTTAATCAATACATGATCATACAGGTTAACACAGATTTTATGAGTGACTTTGTGAATTTGTTCCATTCAAATGTATGATATATTAAACACGTCTTTTTGATATTAAGGAGATAAATTTGTTAAGGTAGCATATAGCCTTAATTGAAAATCTTCTCTTTCATAATTGATTAATGTGTTCCTATATGTTTTGATAAAAGAATGTGCATTAGAAGAATGTTTTCTCACACCAAGGTCCATAGTATCTTTAAGCTGAAGCATTGTAGTTTGTTGTAGTATCCACAAACTTCAAAACACAGAGTACATAAAGTTAGGAAAATGTCATTCATGTCAACAGTTACAGAATGATTGGACTCGATTTAATCTCTTATAATTTGATATTTCATTGATGGTGGACTTTATCAATTATACGGTCTGCTGATCAGCCAATACACACATTGTAATACTGGCCTCGATTTGTAAGGCCGCAATCAATGGGCAACAATGTCGGAGACGTAGGTAATGAGATGGGCACAATGAGGTGACAGATATAGTGTTAGGTATGCCTCACCAACACACAACACAATGACTACTAATTGAGACCCTATAATATTTAACAACACTTTATGTTAGAAGTCTGATTGGTTACTAGTATGAGTGTTTGTCCGGAGGAATGGTTCATAAATATGAGGAGGGAATTGCTCTTGATGATTGGCTATGAAGGGAAAGTAATATGTGTATTGATGTAAAAGAAACAGAAAATGTTGAGATCTGACTAAAGAATGGATTAAATGTGTGAAATATGGAAAGTAAATTACACACAGTTACTAAAGATCGCAAGCCGGTACGTATAATCCAGTACAGGGTTTATCAATGTGTTCAGATTGTGAAGAAAACATTTCTTTTAATTTTGTTGGTAGGTTTTGGATATGAGTGTGGTATACAGACTTGTAACGCCAAGCTGGATTTTCAGATTTTTATTATAAAAATATGTGGAGAAAATGTTTTATTTATTTGTCCATATCTCCTGTTCTAAGGCATAATGATTCACTTTCAATAACAAGATTGTGTGTTTGAATATGTCTATAGAGATGACTGGGTGTCAAATACAGTCTCTCATGCTGTATACAGAGTTATTGCCCTTTGCATGCAGCCTCCCATTAACTGACTTGGAGGACTATATATTAGTTTGCTCTCCTGATAATTGGGACCATCATGCATCACCATAATCAGTGGAATGTCTCAATTGACCTCTAACTGGTAAACGTTGCATGTATACATGTACCCTAAATAAAATCATTTTGACCTTGAGAAGATAAATTTAAGGTAGTGTATAATCTTAATTTTTTCATAATTGATTAACATGTTTTGATGTGAGAAAGTATGTTGATAAATTGTTTTCTTACATCAAAGTCTGTAGGATCTTTAAACCTTTACAGGTAAGTCACTGATGGTATATAGGAATACCCCCTCTGTGTAGGTGTGCACATGCATATGTTCCTCCGTTAAAAACTACATCACTGTTCTACAATCACTTCTTGTACAAGTGGGACTTCCAACCTTGTGCAGTCAAAAACTAGGTAATGTCGCTGATACTATAGATAGAAATCAACAGAAATTTACATGTCACCGCTGTACAAGCTGCATTTCTAAACTGATTGGTATGAAACTCCACATACATTATCACAAACATCACTTATACCAGTTTTGCAGTCAAATACTAGGTCATTGTTGCTATTAATAGAAACTAAAAAAATGTTCACATCATTACTCTAAAGGCTTCATTGCTTCTCTGATTCATACCAAACTTCACACAGGTGTTCACAAAGATCGCCTTTTGTATAAGTTCAAGTTTTGACCTTTCGATGGTTAAAAAACTAGGTCAACTTTAACTATAAATAGAAACTGGCTGAACTTTGATGTCACCGCTTTACAGGCTGCAATTTGACTACCAGGTGACTTCAATTGTGACATTAATAAAACAACAAATGTATTGTCATCCATAAAAAAACACTTATTAGCAGCATATGAATTCACCTACCCATCATTTTGGTAATTAATTAGACCATGTCTACACCAGAGACATTAACATCAACATATTTAGCACTATCTTCCTGTATTACACAGTTCACACTACTGCTTATATATCATTTAAATTAAAGGTACACAGTATTACTTATCTATAGTAACCATAACCTATATTCACACTACTGTTTATATATCATTTAAATTAAAGGTACACAGTACTACTTATTTATAGTAACCATAACCTATATTCACACTGCTGTTTATATATCATTTGAATTAAAGGTACACAGTATTACTTATTTATAGTAACCATAACCTATATTCACACTGCTGTTTATATATCATTTGAATTAAAGGAACACAGTATTACTTATCTATAGTAACCATAACCTATATTCACACTGCTGTTTATATATCATTTGAATTAAAGGAACACAGTATTACTTATCTATAGTAACCATAACCTATATTCACACTGCTGTTTATATATCATTTAAATTAAAGGTACACAGTACTACTTATTTATAGTAACCATAACCTATATTCACACTGCTGTTTATATATCATTTGAATTAAAGGTACACAGTATCACTTATTTATAGTAACCATAACCTATATTCACACTGCTGTTTATATATCATTTGAATTAAAGGAACACAGTATTACTTATCTATAGTAACCATAACCTATATTCACACTGCTGTTTATATATCATTTAAATTAAAGGTACACAGTACTACTTATTTATAGTAACCATAACCTATATTCACACTGCTGTTTATATATCATTTGAATTAAAGGTTCACAGTATCACTTATTTATAGTAACCATAACCTATATTCACACTGCTGTTTATATATCATTTGAATTAAAGGAACACAGTATCACTTATTTATAGTAACCATAACCTATATTCACACTGCTGTTTATATATCATTTGAATTAAAGGTACACAGTATCACTTATTTATAGTAACCATAACCTATATTCACACTGCTGTTTATATATCATTTGAATTAAAGGTACACAGTATCACTTATTTATAGTAACCATAACCTATATTCACACTGCTGTTTATACATCATTTAAATTAAAGGTACACAGTACTACTTATTTATAGTAACCATAACCTATATTCACACTGCTGTTTATATATCATTTGAATTAAAGGTACACAGTATCACTTATTTATAGTAACCATAACCTATATTCACACTGCTGTTTATATATCATTTGAATTAAAGGAACACAGTATCACTTATTTATAGTAACCATAACCTATATTCACACTGCTGTTTATATATTATTTGAATTAAAGGAACACAGTATTACTTATCTATAGTAACCATAACCTGTATTCACACTGCAGAAGGTACAAATGTAAACTCTTAGAAGACGTGATGTTTGTAAACATTTGACAGCACAAATGTAATGCCTTGTTTACAATTTACAATTCTAAGATATCTGAAGACAGGCAAGTAGAAACATTTAGTTATCAAAATGTTACACATTAGGGATAGTAATGATTGTAACTGTCGGTGACTCTCATTTCTAACTTGGTTTGTTATATAACATAATAATATACATTTTTATTTATTTTACAACAATTACGAAACAAGTTATTTCAACTTATACTACTCTTGTTCGCCCGGATGAAAGCACATGAGGGGTTTTATTGCGAGAGTGAACTACCTGGTATCCATTCCGGCTATTGAACCCCTGATTACTAGGTGAAAGGCTACTGCACGACCACTGCGCCACTTCCACCAAAATTTCAGTCCCCTTATCATGAACTAGAGATTAAATCTTCATTTTAATTTTTATTCAGTATTATTCATTTAAGTTATACATATGTAACATATAGAATTGTCATACTGTTCGGGGAATAAACATGTTTAAAATTGTTTCAGTGTGTGACATACAGTGTAATGTGCTAAATTGATAGTAAAATGACACTTGTAGATTACAGTTTGATATCAGAATGCAAATGATGTAATACAGTCATCTCATTAAGGATTTGGTCACAGAGTGGACAAGTTCTTCAGATCTACCTGTTTAACTATGTCAGGTGAAGAAATCTTGCTTATTTTACATTTTTGATAATAATTGGACACCTCTTTACATTCAATTTTTGTCTCTTTAACATGTTAACATGTAAAAATCCTTTGCATCCTAAGTTGCATATGAAATTCATGACATACTCCTCTAGTATTGTGTGAAAACCTACCAGAACGTTAAAAATGTAAGTCTCAATGCAATATTAATGGTAATAAGACATGGATATGTTTTGATATCACACTTTTTTTCCCAGCATGGGACATAACATGATACATACGAACACTGGTATTGTAAATCATAAATTTAATAAAGTAAATGTTAATTATTTCCACACAATCCTATCTCTCCTCTATCCAAGCAGAGACTTTTTATATTGCAATAACTAATGTCTAAAAACATGTTTATTTGAGTCATATCTTATGAAATGCATTTTAAACTATATTCTTAACAAACACAGGATAATTATGGAGTCTAGTGTGTAGAGTATTATGTGATAAGGTAGTTATTACAGAAATTCTTATTTCAACCTCTTAAGGAATGTCAGTAAAGCTCAAAAGACATATCACTAGAAGTTCTTAAAACTGTCTTATAAATGTTCAAAGAGAAGATCATTTTACATTTTTTCCGGGGAATTGGAGAGTGCATGTATCATGTTTCAAGTAAAACAGAAAGAGTGACATGTTTCTGCCCACACCAAGGAAATCTAAATGACTGATAATTTCCAGTCCACATGACCCCCCCCCACCTCCCTCCCCCCCACCCCCCATTTTCAAGCTTCAGGGAAATTCCCTGTAGGTGATAATACTTAAGGAAAAGTATGGTATGTGTGTAAAGGCTTAAAACCTGTTACAACTGTAACAATATCACGGTACTTAGGTTTGATGATATAAGGTATGAAAGTGTTCGTGTATATCATCAATTAGGATTTATTTCCTGTAGACAAACTTCAACTTGTAAATACTGGTTGTAATTACCGTAATGTTAAACAAATCAAAGATTTAATGGTCAATTAAGCTGTAAACTACTAAGGGAGGTAACTCTGACTTGTTTCATAGTAATGAAATTTTAAAAAATCCATGCAGACTACAAACAGGTTATGTGTGTTTGTTAGTAATTCATTTTTTTTTAAAAAAGATTTTCGGAAATCGTCATTAGACAATTATAAAAATAGACCAGAGTAATTACTTTCTGATATCACAAAATAAATTAAAACAACCTGAATTAAAGATTTAAAAAATTAACAATTATTAAGTTACAATAAAAAAAGTGTAAATAGTAACTAAATACAGAATAGTTACAGGAGTGTATAGAATGTTATAGGATTATACTACAGCTGTAGCCGTTCAGTCTACTTTCTCTTGTCCCTTACCTTCTCTATATACACACCTGGTAACACTACTGCGGATCAGTTTTACTCGTTAACACCTGAAATCCAGGTATTAATATATATATGTATACATATGGGCCGATCACCCTTCATCGAGTCTTGTGGTATAAATATGCAGGGAATTAATCTCTCTAAGGCTTTTCTTGTCCACATCAAAAAGTTCTTTTCAACGACCTTTTCACGCCTTTACAACTTACCTTATTGGTAATTTAAATACTGTAGATATAAGGGTTTTTTTGAAAAGGAAGAATTTCATGTAATGCATTTGAATCAATTAGGTAGGTTTTGCTATTTAAAAGGAAACTTCTAAGTTACAGTCTGTTACAAAGATCTTTATATTTTCCGAAAGCTTTGTCAGTTTGCATGACTTA